TTATATGAATAAACAGAATATAAATTTATTTTAGTGCATGTTGATAGCATTATTTATACATAAATTAAAAATAGAATTTAAAATAAGAAACAAAATGAAAATATTTAGTTGAATGTTAATAGAGTTGTCTTGGCATAATGTAAATCACATATATGTATATGAATAAGCAGAAGATAAATTTCTTTTATTGCATGTTGATAGAATTACCTACATAGGAATTAAAAATAGTAAACAAAATGAAACTTTTCTTTGATAAATTGCAATTTTTATTTATGGTTTCCGAGATAAAGACAATTTTACCATTGTTTTCTTTTGTTTTGTAAGAATTGAGCAGTGTGGCGAAATGCACTTATTATTAGTAATTCGAATATCACGTTCATTAGTATACATTATGTACAGCTACTAGTGTGTGTATGGGCAGAATTTTGATTCATTGTCTGTTATAACAAGAGAAATCGGTGGCGCATGGGATCTGTTAAGATATGGTTTTTTAACAATTTTCAGAAATTTAAAAATGTTAGAAATTACGAGTTTTCATGCGTTTGACTCAATAATGCGACAAAATGGTTGCATATCACTAGCGTTAAAATGTTTGTTTGGAACGCCTTGTACACTTCAACAAATGTCCGAATTTTTCCGTTTTAATGCAGTTATTTTATAAATGTGTTTAAATATTTATTTTTCCACTCGTTCTAACCATGTGAAAGTCCAAATTATATCAACTGTTGAAACGCAAAAATTCGGACATTTGTCGAAGTGTACAAGGCGTTGAGAGCAAAACTGAAAGTGGCTGTTTTTACGTGTTAATTTGTTATTTTTGACTGCTTGGGTATATATGATTTTTTTTCTTAAGGACAGATAGAGATATAGCTGCATGAGTGTGTGCAGACATTTTGATTGTTTGAAATAAAACAAAGGCAAGCTCGAACATCAGACCTCTAATACAAAATGCTTAAGCCTAGTTTTACCAATTAAATATTATAATCGGTTCTGATATAATCAATCATTTATGGCATAGCATTATTTGAAATAGATTGCGCTTCTCTTGTTGAAGAACATCAATCCATTTCGAACATGACTGGAGCCACGACGAATGATTGTACTCTTCTTTTGACTTGACATTGGCACAATCACCGATGAAATTGATAGTTAATTTAAGACGAACAACAGTATCAAGAAGTTCAATTTCATTGCGATCTAATTGAATTAGATTTTGATAAGATAAGAGAAATGTATTCAATCTTTTGTCATCTTCAATACCATTAGTGAGCAAGAGAAAGAGAGCTGTAGCTAAGTCAACAATCAATGGAGCATAGCAGGCTTCACCAAAATCAATCACGTAGATATGACGATTATCATCAGTACAGAGCGTATTACTCGGTTGAAAATCATTGTGAATTAGACCTTGTTCCAATTGATCGACCTTTCCATTCAATTTCTCTCGACATTCGAATAGTATCAAACGGAGATAGTTGATATCAATTTCTTCGAGATGTTTACATAGATAAAGATGATCAAACTGTTCTATCCACCATTGATTTGTTAATACTCGTTTCTCTATATTTGTGGAAGGTACTATGGACATGAAAGTTCGTGATGCTAGATGCAATTGCCCAAGTAAAGTTCCCATTTTCATTAAATATGATTCGTCAAGTTCGCTCAAAGATGGCACATGACCATCGAGAAATGTTTGTACGAAAAGATAATGATTATTGTCAACTTGAACAACAATTTTCGAGGTCAACGTCGAAATGATTAGTGAGCACGGATAATTTAGATTCGAATAAAGATAATTTTGAAATTTAGCAATGATTATGAGATGTTCGACATTGAATCGATAATCAATTGTTTTCACCACATATTTTCTATTCATTTCGAGACACACTAACCAGGTTTCTTCTTCAAGATAGCCACCTGGTAAAGTATTAACAGATATGATATCATGAAAACCATATTCACTTTGAAGTACGTCTTTAAACTTAAACTTGTAAACGGTGGAATTCATTGTTAAATTTTTATTATCTAAACATAAGACAATAGTAAACTAATAACTAATTGTCTTTCATCAATAAAATGCTAGTCATTCTTATGTGAAATAGAAACTCTCACTTACTAACACACTCAATATGCACGTATCAAAAAGTGCACACCTCTTGTTTAATAGAAGAATAGAACAAAGATAATTTTATGTCACAATTGTCACTCTTATTACAAAACAAGAGCAGATTGTTGAGCAAGAATTTATCTTTTCATCGTATCAGTTTATATGAAGTTAAATTGAGAGAGAACAATTTCTTCTTACTTTTTATCGTCCATGAAGCAAAACTAATCTCTTTGACGACAGTATCAATCGAAAAGGGTGTGGGTTTGGCTGTGATTGTTGGATATTAAATGCACCCACACAAACACCCAGATCTACATCCATCCCACAACCACATCCACACCCTTTTGCTGCTCATGACTGCTTTTTTAGCACTATGTGTAACCTATGCTTCTAATGTTCTTTGATTCGATGTTTATCATTAGTGAACGTATGTATTCAGATATGTTATTGGTTCCAAAAGAACAAAATACTTTTGATTCTTTATTTAAAGAAAATATAATTCTTCAATTATTAATTGCAGTTGATGTTGATATGTAATTTCGTGGTCTTGTTTTTTATTTAAAGTAGTAAAAAAAAGATATATGGAACGATGAAATAACTAAGAGATAACTATTAAATATGAAACAAGAACTTGTACGATTTGAAGAGAATTTAACTATGATTAAAATAATTGTTGATGTTAGTTATCTTGAATGTTATATAAAGACAAAAAAAGACGAATATTATCTCTAATGTTAAATATGATTTAATTTAATATTCATTTCATTTTTGAGATGTTTACCAAATATTTGAACTGCTAACGTTTTCAATATTAATAGAATAGTCGAAAATGAAGAGTAAATTATTCATTAATTGGAAATGAATCAATATTTACTATGACATTATCTTTAATCGTATACGATAAATCAATACATAATTCTCTTCTTTTTTGATACTTGAATCTTTTAAATAAAAACTATTATTTTATATAATTGTTATCCTTGTGGTTTATCGAATATGAGTGAATCCGTGGGATTTCTACCACAATTTGGAAAAAGTTTGTTTTTTGGATTTTGATATTCAATTATTGGATCCAAAATAAAAGGCAGATTACTATTTTTCGAATAACTTTTCATAGGAATGAGATAGAGAGCTGCGGTTTTCATCATTCGAAAGAATAGATGCTGGACACCAATTCCATATAAAAACCAAGGCTCTTGTTCAAGAGTGGGTTTGGTAGTTCGGATCATGCTCTAAAAAACTACACAAATCACAGATCTCTATCACTTATCGCTTGGACAAGGTTTCAATTTTAATAGAAGCAACTGCATCGACATTCATAAGTTCTCATTTCTTCTTGGAAGATGGAAGATGTATAGAAAATTGGTCATTGTCTACATTGAATGTTCCAGAATAATGAACTTTATCCCAAAAAAGAGTATCCCTGGTTCAGTCCATGAAATAAGTCTTCAAACAGAAATACAAAATCGTAACAGAGCTGAAAATTTTACGAAAAAGTAGGTTTCCTGCTAATGAAAATATGTGTAGGTGGACAACAAAAAATAGGAATTCAATCGTCGAAATCTTCATCCATTTGTTTATTGGTCTCGTCCTCTGGTTCATCGCTTGTATCATAGTCAATTTCATGATCAGTATCATCACTTTCTTTTTTATTTGTATTTGATAAAACGCAACCAAAAAAAGAAAAAAAAATGTATGCATTCATTTTCATTCCGATACCACCCCTTGCATCGGAAGAAAAAAAAAGTACAAAGAGAGAAAGAGTAAAAACGTTGATAAACATGATGTAATTGTGCCTTAAAAAGACAAAGAATATTCTTATGGAACGATTAGTCTCCCCTGATATAGCATACTAATACACGAAAGTGCAACTACCATATATATGGATAAACCGTGAATCATCAGAAATAATAGAAAATTTTTCGAAATTAGCACACTACAGCGCATATGCAATGAGTCTGAATAACTTTTTCTGGACAGACAGGATCGAAAAAAGAACTGCTGAGTATTTCCACTTTCAAAACGTCATTATCAGCAGGAAGTCTACTTTTTCGTAAAATCTTCAGCTCTGTTACGATTTTGTATTTCAGTTTGAAGACTCATTTCATGGACTGAACCAAGGACACTCTTTTTGGGATAAAGTTCATTATTCTGGAACATTCAATGTAGACGATGACCAATTTTCTATACATCTTCCATCTTTCAAGAAGAAATGAGAACTCATGAATTTCGATGCAGTTGCTTCTATTAAAATTGAAGCCCTGTCCAAGCGATAAGTGATAGAGATCTGTGATTTGTGTAGTTTTATAGAGCATGATCTGAACTACCAAACCCACTCTTGAACAAGAGCCTTGGTTTTTATATGGAATTGGTGTCCAGCGTCTATTCTTTCGAATAATGAAAACCGCAGCTCTCTATCTCATTCCTATGAAAAGTTATTCGAAAAATGGTAACCTGCCTTTTATTTTGGATCTGATAATACTTAGATTAATTAGTAAAATAACATCTGACCAAAAACGAAAATTTTCAAGAAACGAATTGATCAAGATGTCGCTGATTTGACCTATCATTTTTTCATATAAACTTGAAAGATTACAGTCAGTTAAATGCAACCCAAAGTCAGTTGTTTCTACTTTTCAGATACAGTGAAGTCACAATTTGTCTTTTGAAAAATAGATAATAATATCAATTAGGTCAAATTGATAGAATTATAGTGGAGATAGTAGTAATGAATTGAATTTCGTTTTACCAACATTAATTTTATACCCTTTATGACCGATTCGGTTGACCTATTCTCAAGTGTTTCTCATTTGACTTGTTCAAATCACATATTTCGCTCAAATTTATGCTGCGAAAACCTTTTGAATAGTTCAAATTTTGATAGACGAAGTTTTGTTTATTTTTCATGATTCGACATGCATTGCTCAAAAGTCTAAAGGATTAATTCAAAAATATACGACTATAATAATTACGAAGTAAGAAAGTTTGAGACATGTCACATGGAAATATTGGCTCAAGCGTTTTTTTTTGTTTATATCAAGACAAAGGAAACAAAAAGCAATACATAGATACCCTTTGTTTTTTGAGGTTCTTAGTCATCATAGCAAGAATAAGAAAGTAAAATGTCTTTTTTAAAGAATGCCAAATGATACATCTCGACCGAAACCTTTCTCAATAAACGATTTGAATTCATTGAAATTCAATCTGTAGTCACCATCGTTATCGGATTTTTGTATTTGATGAAGAAGCAAATGTGGATTTGCTTTGGGTAGGATAATGCATATAAATTCATGTAATTTAGTAATATCGATTGTGCCAGAACGGTCAGTATCAAGTAGACGAAATGCTTCGGGTACATCTTCGATTGCATGTTTTCCCATCATAAAAGTCCGTAATACTTTTATGAAATTATCGTAGGACAGTGATGGTTTGTACAGTTTCGATACAGCTCGTTCATATTCTTGCCGAGACCAGTTTATTTCATAATGTTTACTTTCTCCATAACCATGTTCATCGTATACATATTGTACTTCAGAAACTCGTCCATATTTTTGATGAATAATTTCCATTATGATCATTTTGCGTTCATCAGACATCTTAAATGTAATGTATCTTTTATTCTCAAAAAACATTAGTTCATTATTTGCATGTTAGTTCAGACATGAATGAAATTATATTTAAAAAAAAAACAATGCTTAATGCTCAAGAGAAATTTCTCAAAGTACGAAAACCTAGATGAACTATTTTCATTGAACTGAATAATCCCAAAAGAGTTTGACAATAATTTGGTTTCATGAAGAGCTATACCCGCTTGAAAATTTATAGTAATACTTCTTTGCGCGTATGTATATTTCGACGTACAGATAGTAATTACTCACTCCAATAAAAATACCAACATAATCTTATCGTTTCAATAAAGTTCTATATCTATCTCAGTTATGAGGTGTTACTTGTTATCAACTCAACATACTGTTGTTCTTCTTCTTTTTTTCTATGTTTTTGTAGTTTATATTAGTATAGTCAACGTTTCTGACTTTCAATAGGCATCTGTTTCTAGTTCGTAAAACCGCAAAATAACCAAGAAAACCATCAACATGTAGATTCAAACATCCGACCTGACTGTATTCAACATCAGACGGGTTTCGTGACATTAGACTCTGACTTACTAATCGAATGACGTTACTTTAAATACTGCAGATAGCAAGAAGACGCTCTTTCATTTTCTGGACAATTAAAACCTATGCGAGGAAAAATGACTTGACGAGTCTGAAACAATAATCAATAATGAAAACAAAAAAATATATATAAAGCAAGGAACATTTTTTAACACCCATATCGTCTTTTGATAATAAATGACGGGCAATCAGTATTGTTTTGTGGAAATAACTTTTCTTGATTTCCGTTCCTGTGCCCGTTAAAAACATGTTGTTCTCGTTCCCGTAAAAAATTATTTATTACCGCTTACGTTTCCATGCAATGAT